GTAAAAACGCTTTTTTTTTTTTCTTTTTTTTAGGGTCAGAGGGAGAAGCAGACTCCCTGCTGAGCAGGGAGCCCGATGTGGGACTCGATCCTGAGACTCCAGGATCATGACCTGAGCTGAAGGCAGTCGCTTAACCAACTGAGCCACCCAGGTGCCCAAAACGCTTTTTAAATAACATTCTGAGGAGACCTAGAATTCACAGGAGGCATTAAACATGTAGGCTGAAGCAAACAAACGACTATGCTCTTGGTACTTCTGCTTAGAGAATAGTTGAATATTTGGCCTCAGGTTACATGTCTCTATTTCACTGAAATGAGAATGGGTGGTTCAACAAAAATTTGAATGGTGCTGAGTTCCAAAGAATATGTGGAATTCATGTGCTGTATTTATTTAAATTTAAGAGATCCCAGCATGTTTTATGTACATCATTGTTCTCCTTGAAAACGACATATAAGACAGTTTTGAACAAAGTTTGGGGGGTGGTATCTGTATGGGTCTGTATTTGTGAAAGAAATCTTTATTGAAAGTCATTATACATTAATTATATATATGTCTCTCTCCCCCTCACCCTCTCTCTCTCTCACACACACACACACACGCACACACACACAAACACAGGCTTAGCTCTTACCATGCCCCTACTACTTTTCCAATATTACAGTTGGGAAAACTAAGGCAAAGGAAATTCAGCAGTTTGCCTTAGATCCCACAGTTGGTCAGTGATAGGGACTTAATAAACTACTCCTTAAGAACATTTTTTATTGAGAAATAATTGACATACATCACTGCATAAATTTAAGGTGAATAGCATGATGATTTGATTTACACATATTGTGAAATGATTACCACAATAGGTTCAGCTAACATCCATCTTCTCATATAGACCCAATAAAAAAAGAAAAGAAGAAAAAAGGACAAACATTTTCTTGTGATGGGAACTCTTAGAATTTACTCCCTTAACAACATTTCTATACGTCATACAGCAGTGTTAGTTATGGTCATCATATTATATATTATATCCCAAGACTTATTTATTCTGTAACTGGAAGTTTATACCTTTTCACCATTTTCTTACAATTCCTGTCCCCCCTATCCTCTGCCTCAGGTAATTTTTTTTTTTTTTTGAGATTCCATATATAAGTGAGATCATACAGTATTTGTCTTTCTCTGACTTATATCACTTAGCATAATGCTTTCAAAGTCTATCCATTTTGTAGCAAATGGTAAGATTTCCTCATTTTTTTATGGCTGGATAATATTCCATTGTGTGTATACATATACATATATATGTATATGTGTATGTGTATATATACCCCAATTTCTTTATCCATTCATCCATCCAGGGACACTTAAGTTGTTTCCATGTCTTAGCTATTGTAAATAATGCTTCTATGAACATGTGTGGTGGGGTTGGTGCAAACATTTTTTTGAGTTAGTGTTTTCATTTCCTTTGGATACATTCACATAAGTGGAAATGCTGGATCATATGGCAGTACTATTTTTAATTTTTTGAGGATCCTTCATACTTTTTTCCATAGTGACTATATCCATTAGCAATCCCACCAACAGTGTACAAGGGTCCCCTTTTCTCTACATCCATACCAGCATTTGTTATCTCCTGTCTTTTTGATGATGGCCTTTCTAACAGGCATGAGGTGATATCTCATTGTGGTTTTAATTTGCATTTCCCTAATGACTAGTGATGTTGAGCATCTTCTCATGTGTCTGTTGACCTTTTATATATCTTCTTTGGAGAATGTCTATTCAGGTCCCTTGTCCATTTTTTAATTGGGTCATATCTTTTCTTGCTATTGAGTGGTATGAGTTTTTCCTATATTTTTGACATTAACTCCTTCACAGATATATATATGGTTTATAAATATTTTCTCCTATTCTATAGGTTGTCTTTTCACTTTGTTGATGGTTTCTTTTGCTGTGCAGAAGTTTTTAGTTTGATGTATTCCCACTTGTTTATTTTTTATATTGTTGTTTGTACTTTAGGTGTCATATCCAAAAAATCATTACCAAGACCCATGTCAAGGAGCTTTATTTCTATGTTTTCTTCTTGGAGTTTCATGGTTTCAGGTCTTACATTTAAGTCTTTAATCCACTGCAAGTTAATTTTTTGAGTAATGTAAATATGTGTACAGTTTTATTCTTTTGCATGTGAATATCCAATTATCCCAGCATCATTTATTGAAGAGAATCCATTGAGTATTCTTGGCTCCCTTGTCCAATATTAGTTGATGGTACAGGCTTGGGTTTATTACCAGGCTTTTGATTCTGTTTCATTGTGCCTGCCAATTCTATGTGTCTGTTGTCATGCCAATACCATACTATTCTGATGACTATATCTTTATAGTATAGTTGAAATCAGGAAGTGTGATGTCTCCTGCTTTGTTCATCTTTCTCAGGATTTCTTTGGCTATTCAGAGTCTTCTGTGGTTCCATATATATTTTATGAGTGTTTTTTTTTTTTTCTTTTACTTCAATAAGAAATGCCATTGGAATCTTGACAGGGATTGCATTGAATCTATATATAGCTTTTGGTAGTATTGACATTTTAATAATATTAATTCTTCCAACCCATGGACATGAGATGCCTATCCATTTATTTGTGTCTTCTTCAATTTCTTTCATCAGTGTATTGTAGTTCTCAGCGTAGAGATTGTTTATCTCTTTAAATTTATTTCTAAGTATTTTATTGTTTTTGATACTATTATAAATGAGATCAACTTCTTTATTTCTTTTTCAGAAAATCCATTGTTAGTGTATAGAAACACAACAGATTTCTGTATGTTAATTTTATATCCTGAAACTTTACTAAATTTGTTAATTAGATCTAACAGTTTTTTGGTAGAGTCTTTAAGATTTTCTATATATAAAATGATGTCATCTGCATATAGAGACAATTTTACTTCTTCCTTTCCAATTCTGATACCTTTTCTTCTCCCCCTCCCACTCCCCCCCTCTCCTTTTTCTCCTTCTCTTCTTCCTTCATCTTCTTCGCCTCATTGTTCTAGCTAGGACTTCCAGTACTATGTTGAATAGAAGTGATGAGAGTCAGCATCTTTGTCCTGTTCCTGATCTTAAAGGAAAAGCTACCAACCTTTTACCACTGACTATGATGTTAGCTGTGGGCTTGTCATATATGGCCTTTGTTAAGATGTGTTCCATCTATACCTAATTTGTCTTAGTTTTTATCATGAATGATGTACTTCATAAATGCTGTCTCTGCATCTATTGAGATGACCATATGATTTGTTTTCATTCTATTAATATGCCGTATCACATTGATTAATTTCTGTATGTTGAACTATCTTTGTATCCTAGGGATACATCCCACCTTATCATGGTGAATGATCCTTTTAATATGCTGCTGAATTTGATTTGCTGTATTTTTATTGAAAACTTTTACATCTATACTCATTGGGGATATTGCCTATAGTTTTCTTTTCTAGTGGTATCATTTTCTAGTTGTGATATTAGGATGATGCTGGCCTCATGAGTTTTGGAGTGTCCCCTCATCTTCAAATTTTTGGAAGAGTTTGAGAAGGATTGGTGTTAATTCTTCTTTAAATGTTTGACAAAATTCACCAGTGAAGCTATCTGGTCCTGAGCTTTTCTTCTTTGGGAAATTTTTGGTTACTGATTCAATCTCCTTACTAGTAATTGGTCTATTCTGATTTTCTATTTCTTCCTGATTCAGTCATGGTAAGTTGTATGTTTCTAAAAGCTTTTCCATTTCTCTTAGGTTGTTCAGTTTCTTTGGCGTATTGTTGTTCATAACATTAAGAAATGTTTTGTTCACTAAAATGTATGTCTAGTTTATTTCAAGAATCCAATCCGAATTTTGTAACTTGCATTTATTTCTGAAAATGTGTAGGCCTGAAGTTTCTGAGAGACTGGGTCAGTTTAGATCATCTAACCAGGTTATCTTCGGAAAAATAATATGAACCAGTGTCATATGGATTCCATCAAGATATTGCCCATAAGAATCCTTTTTTAAAAAAAAAGATTTTAAAGATTTTATTTATTTGACAGAGAGAGAGAGAAGGAGCACAAGGAGGCAGAGCGACAGGCAGAGGAACAGGGAGAAGCAGGCTCCCCACTGAGCAGGGAGCCTGATGTGGGGCTCCATCCCAGGACCCTGGGATCAGGACCTGAGCTGAAGGCAGCCACTTAACCGACTGAACCACTCAGGTGCCCCCAGATGCAGTTTCCTAAGAGAAGCTTAGGTTGAATTGATTGAGAATGTAATGAGTACTTATAGGCAAAAATATTCCAGTGTTAGGAATATGTTAGGCATTAACTATTTTCTTTTTAGGGTTCTTTGTTTTACTCATAATATATGAAAGTACTGGCTAGGTTTTATAGACCCCTGATGCCTAATTAATAGCTGACAGTGTTCAAGCTGATTATTATGGTACATTAGACCTTAGTTGATGGCAAAATGAAATATGGTTCAATTTCCTAAGATTCCTAAGCAGAAATCCTATAGAAATAAAATGTAAGCAAATTGCTACTCCCAGAACTTCTCCCTAGACAATTCTAATCATACCCACATCCCCATTGCTGTAACACCCCAGTTAATTCCCACGTATTTATTAAGACCCAGGTCAAGTATTGACTTTTTATAAAGCTCTAATTCTTCCAGGAAGAGTTCTATTTTCCCTTCTTGCTTCTACAGAGCTCTGCATGGATCTTTTTCTACTCCAACACTTCCCAAATGGTTGTCTAAGAGAACTGAGACAACAGAGACTGTCATTTTCTTCTGTATATTCCCAGTGCTTGTGAAGTAACTGATAACTGAACATTACTGAATAAGTAGTCTTGCTTAAATTCATGAAACAGAGTTGAGTCATCCACCAGATTTTAGTTTTAGTCAAAGAGATGGTATGTTTCCATGTTCAGAATGGGTTTCACGTAATCTTATAGCTTAATTGCTTAAAACCCTTATGGATAAATAGCAACAATTCTCTGAGGAATTTGTGACTTACCTTACTTGACTTGTGGTCCACATTAAAAGTGGCAATTGCATCCTCTGTTTTTTTCCTCCCAGATTTGGTTATTACATATTCGGCAAGTTTATTTGCTAAATAGGTCTTTCCAGTACCACTAGGTCCTGAGAGTATAATTCTGTGATGCTCCATCAACAAGTTAAAGTACCTTTGGGTAATTGGTTTAGGAATCAGTGTATCAAAAACAAAACTGTCCAAACTGTTTTCTTCTACCCCTGAAGGAAGAAACAAAAGGAACAGCATGCCTTATTGTTCTACAGAAGCTGGAATTTAAAATATAGCGTTAACTGACAACAGAGTTTTATTAGTCATAGGAATGTAGGCCTGGTAAAATGCTTTCCTTGATATTTCTATCTCACAACCACGTGTTGCCATTTTAAGACAAAAAGCATTAGTAATAAGGCAGAGTGAGCAACCAAATGAAAGTAAGCCTGTTTCCTCTTGGTTCAGGCTTCCCTCCACTGTCTACTTCAGGTTTCCCACTTATGTTTCCAGAGAGAAATGGAAGAATTACATTAAATTCTATTATAGTATCTTCCTTCTCTTTGAATGTGGTGGTTTTGTTAAAAATAAATGTATATATTAAAATGTATGTGTGTTCTTCCCTTTTTCTTCCTATTTTCTCCTTCTCTTCATTCTCTTTTATCTCTCATTACAAACCCCAGCTGTACAACCACTTAAGCTCTTGAAGAATATGAATTGTGATATTTGGCAAGGAATTAAGAAGCAAAGCAACAGTATCTCCTTTTACTAACCCAAGCACCTTAATCACAAAATCAAATGTTGGCAAACTCCTCTATTAATCCAGTTTTTATAGATGTGCTCTGACTCTTTAACATATATGAAGAAAGAATTATGGAGACAAGTATACTTTAGATATTCCATTTGCCTATAATTAATCACATCATCCAAAGCAAACAGAATTTCTTAGCCCCAATTCTTAACATCTATTCTCTATCCCCAGTGGGTATTTATTGGGTACACATATTTTAAAATCAAAGATACAGTGACGAATATATTACTTTGGGATAGGCAAGGAATTCTTTGAGTCCTCCCTAAATGAAAGATGATAATGGAATAAATCTAGGAATTTGAAATTCCCTAAATCACATTCCTTTTCTTGAGTCTTAGAGAATCTTCAAAATTACATTCCAAGTTTCACATCCCAGAAGTCAAAGAATCTCATTTACTTGAATTTTAATGTTTTTATTATGATTTTAGTGTTTTAAAATAAATATGTCCCATTTCATACTAAAACTATCAATGTAGTTAACATTTTTTTCATAACATATTTTCAAATATGAAAATCTGAAGTGAAACTAGAAAGAAAGAGAGAAAGGAAGGAAGGAAAGGAAAGGAAAGGAGGAAGGAAGGAAGGAAGAAAAAGAAAGAAAGAAAGAAAGAAAGACAAAGAAAGAAAGACAAAGAAAGAAAGAAAGAAAAAGAAAGCAAGAAAGAAAAAGAAAATATTGGTTAAAAAAATACAGTTGTATTTTTCTTTTCGTTTTTGTTTTTACCTTTCAGGTTCACAGTAATGATGTTATTATCTCCAACAAGGTATCCACAAGGCAGCAGTTCAGGCACTTCTAGGCTATGGGATCTAATTAAATCTCCTATACAGTAGCTAGCAATGCAGTCAGAGCTCAGACCAAGGCTAGCGGATGTATCAATTCGGAACACATATTCCTAAAATGATACATACAAAAAGGAAGTCAAAACAGAGATTCAACTCATCTACAACAAATACAAAACTCATGGGTATATGAAGCTAGCCGTCAAGAATTTTGGAATGGGTAATAAAAGAATTATTAATATCACACAGCACAAAGAGAGAAAGCTTGAAATGGGAGCAAGGAAAAGCAGATATGTCTACATTATTAAAGCTAAGGAAAGCTTCTAAAATAAAACACATTCAAAAATATCAGGATATCTTACACAATTTACCTTAAAGAGACGTCTAATTACACCATCTAAGACATCCCACTTGGTTTTTCCACTAACGCCAATGGATCCTATCAAATATGCCTGAGACTTCTGATCCTAAATAAGAATAAAATAAAACATGATAAAACCCAATTGTATGTCTTGTTTTATCACTACATTTTCTACTAAAATATATTAATATACTCATAATTAAGACTAAAATGTTTATTAAGCCTGTGGGTTTTATTGTAACAGACACATATGGTATATTATATAAAATAAAACATATCCCAACAAACTAAACAAATAAATTAAGTAACATCAACAGCAACAACAAGAAAGAAAGAGATGAGATGAAGTGGAATGGTATGGAAAACTGACTTGTGACCTGTTTGGTCACAATCCTGATTCTGGTCGCCAACTGCATTCATCCTTAAGAGGTGTTAGAATAATAACTGAGTCAGATATTAGGAGATATGGATTCTACAACACAGACTCTCTATCACCTAATTTAAAAAAATGTGACTTTAGGTAAGACACTTAGCCACCTCAGAGCCTCGATTTTTTCCTCTGTAACATTCACCTCTATAAGGGTAAATGATTATTATCATCATTTAGATATAATCCAAGTTAGAAGCCAATACTTTTTCTAGAAAAAGTTAAGAAATTCACAGCAAACCATTGTGGGTTTTTTTTTAGTACTCTTATGGACTGAATGTTCATGTCTCCCCAAAATCATATGTTAGAGCCATAACCCTCAATGTGTTGATTTTTGGAAATGGAGCCTTTAGGAGGAAATCTGATTAGGTCAGTAGAATGGGGCTCTCATGATGGGATTAGTGACTCATAAGCAGGGGAAGGGAGAGAGACATTCATCTCTCTCTCTCTCTCCAAGTACACACACTTTGGAAAGGACATGTGAAGACATATCAAGAAGGTGGCTATCTGTAATACAATGAGAGACTCCTCACTAGGAACCAAATAGGCCAGCACCTTGATCTTGGGCTTGACAATGGTGATAAAATACATTTTTGATGTTTGAGCCACTCAATCTATGGTATTTTGTTATGGCTGCCCAAGAAGACGAAGACAACTACTTTGGATGTTCAAAAACATTGCTTTTGAAGAATTATTTAAAAAAAAGAAAACTTGTTTTCCAGTATTATTGTAACCCAGTCAAAATGAATGCTAATACCACGCTTTGTAAGTAGCTGCTTTTAAATTAGAAATAGTTTAAGCTTCACTGACACTATTACAGTCTTTTGCATGAAGACCCACTTGGGAAAATCAGGCATAAATCTGCTGCTCAAGCAGAAAGTTTATGGCACTGGAATTCTTCGAATATTTGCTCAGTGTAATAATTCACAAGTGCCATCTTACTTTTCAAACTTCACTACTTCAACTGTTTTAAAATTCCAAAGGAGTTTTTGTTTTTCTGTTTGGTAGGAAAAAAATTCAGAGACTTACAAATTTGTATTCTTGGCCACTCAACTACAAATTCAGCTTGAAATAATATTTTTAGTTTTAAAAAAGGACTTGAGTCATGATTTGGTAGCAGCATTTGGTTCAAGTTAAAATGTTTTCCTCATCAGCTTAGATTTTGCTTAAAAATGATACATACAAGTAGCATCAATGGAATTGTCATACTAAGTTCAGTAAATATATCTTCCCAGCATCTAGAATATTCATATAGCTTATAGTCTCCTCCTATATTGACAGCTCGGTAACATGTTACTACACATCATAAATATCACCTGTATTTTACAGGTGACACCAAAAGAATGTTAGACAAGATGCTGATGTCAAAGAAAGCAATGTTTCCTTTTTGAAGTTATAGAAATGAGAATGACAACCAAGATTGTCACCAGTGAATGAACGTGATGTACTGAGACACATTTCTACTTATATGATGGTGCCATTTTTTTTTTGAGTCCCTAACTTTCATGTTTTTATAACATATTAGGCCAATGCCAAGACACACACTGCTGACAGTGTATCTACCAGGACAAATATTCAAATTTAAAATACATTTGATTCATGGTCATGCTCATGCTTTAGTAATAAAGAATTCAAGATTAAGAACATACCTTTGCTCGGCCATAGCCCTTGCTTATGGAGACGATAATTTTCACACTGCGGCCATCTTTCTGTCCAGTTGCATCACTAGCACCAGCATCGTCTAGCAAAATATCTACCAAATTTTCAAAGAAATAAACACACATGCACACATGTGCACGTGCACGCGCACACACACACACACACGCACACCCCACAATAGAGTCACATTAGCTTGGAATTGTTTATTTTCATTGTTTTCTTCCTCATAGTTTTCAGTGGGAATATTTGGCCTTTCTGTTTCCCATTCTAGCCTAACTTGTTTGAAAAATCTCAGCTTTCAAGAAGATGAATTAGTGTGGTTGGACTGAAGGTTCAATCTAAGAATTTATTTCTGCCTCCAAAGATCTTCACCCACATGCTGGGCCATCGCCTTCAGATGAGGAAATAAGGGGTTTGTTTTTCTATTAGACCCAGGTCTGAGGAATACTTGAGTAATATTCAGTTACCATTGTAACGGTGACAAACAGAAAAGCAATTTGATTTTTCTATCCAACCTAAAATATCCAAGCTCAATACCCATGTAATTTACGAATGCTAAGGTGCTGAGATTGGCTGTCAAGTGAAATTATTTTCAAGCATTTGGCACATATCCAGCTATATTACTGCTTACCTTATATCTATAACTATTAGGTACTGTTATTGAATTTTAACCATAGTATTATACTTCCCTACAGAAGCACATTAATTATCACTCTCCTGTACCCTTTATGCTTATAGTTTTAAAACCAAAATAGTATTTCTAGTAATCAGCTAAGACTTACAGAAGCATGATAAAGCTAGCTAACCTTCAAAGCATCAGCCTTTAAATGGAATTAAAGATTAATTTTCAAAATACATGAGATTAATGTCCAATTTGGATAATTATTAACATCAACTATCCCACATATATGTTTTCCTTTGACAATAATTTTATTATAGAGCCATGTTTAATATGAATATGGTGCTCTGTGGACAAAAGAAATTCAGTTACGTGCTAAAGAGCACATGTGTCTGGTCACAAGGGGCCTCAATTACTCTGACTGTAAATTTATAGAGATAAGGGCTATGAATGTAGTACCAGAGAAATGATAATTTAATCAAATAGCTTCTGAAAACAGAATGGTCCTATTATCTTAATAATTAAGAATATGCAATTTCACAAAGGAAGGAGTAAAAAAAAAATGCCCTAGGACCCTAACAATCAAAAATCAACAGAATTTGAGGAATATGGATTTTTTTTTGTTAGAAATTTTTAAATCATCAAAGATAATCTCCTTACTAGAAATTTAATTATTTTACCAGATTAATATGCTCACAATCTCTCACCTTGTTGCTTATCTTAGTCAAAAGTAAAACTCTTCGCTAAGTGTCATTTAATCCTCTTGCTCTTTTTCTTAGAAGTTTAGATTGGCTTACTGTTGGCTGCCTACATCTAAATTTCTGGTAGGCTGTGACCAAATTATCTCTTTAGTACTTTGCTCAATTAGTCATAAATGTGTACAAATATTCAAAAATAGTTATTAAACCTAAATGATACCAGGAACTGTGCTGGGCATTAGGAATGAATACCAAGGTGAGAAGCAAAATGAATTTCTTGCTCTTTTGGAGTATACATTCTCAACAGGGTAATTTCAGAATGTGTCAAGCTCAAGAAGTAATGGGCATGCAGCAGTGAAACGGTAACCAAAGAGAGGCAGCTCTACATGGATAGGTCATCCTGGAAGGCTTCCTTGAGGAGGTGCTGTTTGGAGCTAAGACCAGCAAGAAAGACCTAGGAAAAGAGGTCCAGAAAACAAGAACAAATGCAAAAGCCTTGATGAAAGAGCTAGGTGTGTTCAAGGCTCATACAAATGCTCTGGGTGGCAGGGGTGGGGAGATCAAGTTGGGAGGCGGGGGAGAGTAGTATGAAATGATGTTGAGGTGGACAAGGGCCAGATCATGAGCAGCCTAGTACTCCATAGCAAGGCATTTAATCTGATTTCTGATCTACTTCTCTGCTCAGGTTTGCTTTGGAACCTGTTATTCATTTCATGTTATGCTTACTTTTAAAAACTGTGCTTAAAATATGGAATTTCTTCTGACAGCGGTGAAGTAAATATTTACCAATAAATGAATGAATGTCTCTATTCGACTTCTCATATGTGGTTACTTAAAGCAAAATGAATATAGTACTGAAAAGGTCAGGCACTGGATTCGTACAGACCTGGGTTCAAATATTAGCTCTGCCTCCTACTAGTCCCATGATCTTGAACAAATTATTATCGTCTCCTTCCTCAATCTTGGTCTCCTCATCTGTAAATGGGGCTCAAACAACACCTACTTCATAGGGCTACTGAGACCAACAGAGATAATGCTCTTACAGCACTTTATCCTCAGTGTTTAATAAGGTCAGCTGTTCTAACCGTTATTCCCTTTCTCTATGTGTTTATTGTGTCTCATTCTCTTCACAGTGAGGGGAGAAGCACATCACGACTCACTCTGTGTCTTCCCCTGTTCCCAATATATTGATAAGATGATCATCTGAAGAAACAACTCCAAGAAAAAAATGAAAAACAGTAAATTTGAGGTTTTCTGTGTATGTGTGTTTTTTCGGGTTTTTTTTTTTTTTTTGGTTTGTTTTTGTTTTTGTTTTTTACGGAAAATAAGTCATGGTCCTCTGTCAATATTTTGAAGGAAGAATAAAAAGATCTGCCATTCTGGTTATAATCAAGTGAAATTCTGACCAAAAAAAGAGAAGACTTTTCAACTTCTGTCTTTACTGGATATATGGAATATGCAGTTATATTTCAGGAACCAAACATTTGTCAATTATCCACACGCCTGCCTACTTCTCACCTTTTTAAAAAAAATTAAACATGAACCCTAGAAAGTTTTTTTGCTAAAAAGCCCCAATGGAAAGGCACTTCTGATTTCTAATTTTGAACCCAGTAAACAAGAGTGAAGGCAGTGAAAACAGTATCCTACTCATGTGATTTAATATTTTGTTAGTTCAGATACAATTATCACTAATGAGAAATAATTAGGGAAATAAAATAATATTGAACTACAAATAAATAATGAGTAATAATAAGTACATTTTTGAAACCCCCCTCCAAAAATTTGCCCCAAATTCTGAATCACGGACATCAGTATTTTCAGTCTGATGAACACAGAAACTATACTTGATTTATTTATCTTTATCTTTATCTTTATGAATTTTAGTCCTTCCTGGACATGAATTTTAGTTTCATTTTTATTTGGCTTCTATTTCTAAACTATCTTTAGTACTAACCATGCCTCCTTTAAACCTTATTATATTTCCATGAGATAAAATCATGTAACAAGCAGTGAAATCCTGCCATGATGCCATCCTGTGAGGTACAAGCCTATGACTTTCCTTAGGAGTCAACCCAGGACAAGAGAGTTACTGACTGCCTTTGGCTATGGACCCTGCTTCACTTCCCTATTAGGTTCATCACCAACAAGCCCCATCACTAACAAGCCAACATATAGGAATTGCTCAGGGCTCCCAGAATCTATACATTCAAAGGTTTTGTTTTTTCTTTTTTAGCATCTTTTGAAGAATTTGGGTGATAACACCTTACAATTTACACATTCAAGTTACTATCGTAGTCCCATAGCTCTAATTTACTGTATGATTTATAAGTTCATTTAATTATGACATCTCTCTGTTTCTTCTTGGCTACTAATACTCGTTTTACTTGATGCTTATTCTCAGAATTCATTTCCTTTCCCCAATACCTGCCAAATGTTACAGACAGTGTTTTCCTGAATTTCAGGGAGTTCCTACTTGCCTTTTAGTTCCCACTTGTCTTTTCTAAGAAGAAAGCCAAGTTATACATTTGAGCCATTCATTTTACATTATGAAGGGCAGATATAACAGTAGAATTGTTAAAATTCTGACTTTCTAGAAGAGATGCAATTTATTAACAATTTAATCAATAACAGCATGCTGGGTCTCTGTTTCTCCTCTTCATTTTCTTCTTCTCTATTTTAGTGTAATTTAAGGCAAGCCGGGAAGAACTATATAGTTGTATAATGGAATCTACAGTTACCCAGGAACATGTATATCATTGGTTTCCAAGCGTCATCTGGTGGCTATGCTTTGCAATTACCACAGATCTTCATGTAAATCTCTCCTAAACTAAATCTTCTATACATAAAATGATTCACTGCCATAGGAGCAGTTACACTTTATAACTGAAGAGTTTTATCACATTAAGACAACATTATGTCAGATGATTCTATTTGCAATGAAATAAAACTGTACCCCGGTCCCATCATTAGTACCCCTGAACACAATAACAGAATCCAGTGAGTTCTTTTCATTTGTTGGAAATTTAATAGAACTGTGCCCTGGGTGATGTAGTAGCATTATGTTCTCTCTGGGCAACATCATGCAAGATCATCTGGTCAAATTTACGGAGAGGTCCTGATATACTCGTAAATGGGCTTTGTACCCTTAAAATACTATAAAATTGCATGTGATTACTAGTATTATATTTATAAGTACTAATGATCACCACTGAGAACATTTCCTTATTGTGTTTGTAATCATTAAGAAAGTACTTCTCAAGCACAAGTAATTTTTTTAAATGACACGAAAACCATTGTCTCTTAAGTCTTTCACTCTTTCACAGAGAATGTTCTTTTAAAGTTATAACAAAGTAGAAGAAATTTTTAAAAGAAGAATGGGGCTATTTCCGAGAACTAAGAGGGCCAACATTTTTCCAAGGGTAAGGTGAGAACAGGGGTGGGTGACATTCCCCAAATTCCAGCCCCCTCCCCCCCCACAAAGCACAGGCATGATTTGATTCAGGCAGGTGTGTGCACAAAATTACCTGAGGTAACAGACTCTGTGATGTTCAGATTGTTTAGGGAAAGTCCTAACGACTGCCGTGAAGATGAGGAGGATGTGCTACTTGAGGATTCTGACGGTGGACGAGCAGGCTTAGCCGTGTTACCAGTTTCTGCCTTCAACCGGTCATTTTCTGCCTTCAGTATTTCTATTTCGTTCTGTTGTGAGGATGGGAAACATGAAAGAAAAAAAAAAATCCAGCTAGTTTGAGTGAGAAAAATGGTACCAACGCTTTTATCAGAGTTGATGATTTAGTTTATTAAATAAAGCATGTGGTGATATGTTAAGTAAACAAATATAAATTATGAAAACAGGATTTTCTCCACAGAAGGAAAGTTAACTTACTCTCATTCTTACATACGTATACTCATGTATTCACAAATATAGATGCACTAACCATTAGAATTTGTTTAGGTATTTTTTGAATATACCGTATATTTGAGGAGTCTTCCAGGACTTGGTCCCATTTGAATGAAGAATAATAATATTTAAAGCATTCATAAAATTTCTCACCTTATTGTTTTAAAAGATTTTATTTATTTATTTGACAGAGAGAGAGAGCGCACAAGCAGGGGAAGCGGCAGGCAGAGGGAGAAGCAGGCTCGCCACTGAGCAAGGAGCTGGATGCAGGACTCCATCCCAGGACCCTGAGAACATGACCTGAGCTGAAGGCAGATGCTTAACTGACTGAGCCACCCAGGCATCTCCCAAAATTTCTCATTTTAAACATACTGTTAAAATCTTACAGGTAAATAATGCCATTTGTAATACTCTGAACTCATGAAGAGTTGAAAACCAGAGTCAGAAACAATACAAATACGATGATTTAAAATGACTTCAAAACCCCAGCTAACATCTGAAAAAGTTTCTGTTCCTTCAAATTGAGGGCACTAGGCTCATAAAAACCACAAAGACCTTTTGGTGAATATACATAGTAGCAGATAAATCTGCTCAGCAATGAGCTTTTCTTGTTTCAGTCCTCTGCGGTACACAGGGATTACAGGTTTACAATAATAAAACGAAAATTCAGTCTGAGCACAGGCTGATTCTGAAATTAGCCTTCAGATGCTTCCCCAAAATACAAAAGCTTTACTTTTACAGATGGCATTCTACATCACTTTTACTTTCATATTTAGAAAGCTTGTGTTAAATTTCTGTAGTTTCCTCATTACTTTTTTTTTCCTCAATAGAAAATAGGTAAAGGCAATTGAAAGTCAGATTTCAAAAGAAGGGAGAAAAGCCAACACAAAGATAAATCATGGGAAAGTGAAGACACGAGGCTTGTAGTAGTTTCTCGACAAGCTCAGCTCTCAAGTGAATCCAATCACTGGTACGAGTGTCTTGAATGGCCCTTGAGTGTGACTGGCCAGTCAGTACTCTCACTTCCAAGCCTGGCTTTGACAAAACTCTCCGTTCAGTGTTAGGAAATGAGGTGCAAATATTGAATAAACAGAGTGTGTTTCCACGGTCGGTTTAAAAGGTAGATTTGTTTTTATAATAACCAAGAGTGGCAACGAAATAATATTTTTCATCTCTCCTCTTTGCTCGTGGAAGGTGCCTCAGCACTGACCTGCATCCGGTTCATAGCTTCCCGGATCTGGTCAAGATGATGAGCAGAGCTGAGGGCTTCCAGTCGAATATCTGTTAATTTTAATTCCTTTTCTCTGAGCTCGCTCTTCAGCTGCAGAATTATCTCTGCCTCAGCCTCCGTGCATTCACAGATCCTGAAGAGGGAACCAAACACAAAATCAGTTGTCGGGAGGGAAGCCAGAGCATCAGGAAAACCAATGCTTCTTTTAAGGCTGAACTGCAATATTATCCAGCAGCTACAGAAGTTCTTTGCTGCTGGCAAAACCTGAAGAGAAGGAAAAAGAGTTTTACAAACAGTAATACATTCACAGGTTCAAAACTGAAAACAGGAGCTGTCTTTTTCCTTTAATCCTTTCTTCCCATTTTTCTGAAGTTTAAAAACAATCCATTATTACTCAATACCAAGTAATCTTCAAAATATCCTTGTGGCTGATATTCATGGGGCTGCATAGCATTACACCATCTTATTCCGCCATTTTTCAAGGGACCTAAATCTCTATTTGCAACTTACGAAATATTCTTTTTTTTAAAAGCAGTTATGATGTTCTTAAAACACTGATTTCTTTTTTTTTGCAAAACTGTGCAAAGTATAACATTATTTGCCACAACACTGTCTTCAAGTTACCATGAAAATCCAATACAAATATTATAGGAAATAAATCAGGGAGATTAGTTTTGGACATTTAAATAATGGATGAGTGTTATAGAATCCTCCTGTAGGCTCAGCTGATTTAGGAGATCAAAGCTAATGAAGCTAAATCACAGGTTTCAACCCATGCAAGAGGGCTAGTCGAGGGCTGCTCGAAGGTCATATACGTTACTTCCTTATTATTTTGTTATTGTTATTTTGTGGGCAGTTTTGCAGGAAATACAATGCAAGAACTTGCTTTTTATTAACTAGTACCTTTTCCATTTAAAATGTGAGGGCTATGTTGTTGGTTACAAAATGATAGTGCTAGGTTCCTCCTTCCTATATAAGTGGTGAAATTATCGGAGATACCCAAGTGTCTTAAATGGTCCTATTGTGGCTCTGTCCTACGTGACAGTTCTATACTAGTCATTGTCATGGGCATACAAGGAAATTTGATTTTAAATAGTATATAAAACAGAGAATCACCTCATCAGAGTACATGTTCTACGTTCTCAAGGTTTCATTCATTCTTGTAACATCAAATGGTGAGCTACTATAAAAATGCTATGCTAGGTTATCTAGTGGAATTAAAGGCAAATGGATTACAGCTTGGTTTTAGGAAAACAAGCTGGACTTCAAAACCAGAGACAGAGGAGGTTTTTATCATTGAAATGCATGCGAGTGATTTTAGAAAGAGCAAAGGCAAATGGTGCTGAGGTTAGAACCAGGAACTTGGCAAGTTGCATGCATCACATGCCATTTTACCGGGATCTATGTTTGTAGATCACAGGGCCATTTTGCCGTTTCTTTGGTGGCCAGACAAGGGGTGACCTGCATTGAATGCACAGTGAGACAGAGACATGGACCAATGCCAGTGAAAAGAAGTGAGACTGATGACTCAGAAGAGTGGAGAGTGAGATCACAAGGCACTCAAATTCTAACATGTGAAATGGGAAGGAGAAACGAGGGCTGTCCACAGTTCTAGGGAAGACTGGAAAACGACTGGCACAGATGGTGTTGCAACCCGACTGCGTTTACATCACAAACAGGGGCTTGGCCTGGAGGTGTTTTTTAAAAAGACTTCAGCATCCTGCAGAGGGAGTGACTTACGCTGAGGCCGACTGTGAGGGCTTCATGGATGTGGCCCCGCAGTCCCCCACAGTATGGGGCACTTTCGGTGACGCTGGGAGGGATGAGTCAGTAAGCTCTTCAATGTCCGAATGTGAGGAAGGAGGCTTGGTGGACTTTTTCTTCCCAAAGGCTTGTTTGAATGAGCTTCTCAGCTGAAAAGAGGACAGAAATTACCTTTCGTGTCTATTTGCATTTGGAGAATTTGGCTTTGGGGCGTTAGTTTGCAGATGCCATCCTAGCCACTGCCTGGGGTCAGTATGTACAAGCAGAGTATTAACAGGTGCAGCACGGTATCTCTAGAAAAAAATGATACCGCGTTTTGTGTTTTGTTTTATTCTTATATTAATCCAGCGCAGCGCAAACACGGAAGGCTTTGAAATAGTGCAGGGTCAAGGGCATGGCTGTCAGAGCACTCATTTAAAACTAAGTACCTTGAAGGGATCTCCACTCCCAATGCTTCTCTCTTCAAGGCAATTTGTTTTAAATGGCCACTTTAGCGCTACAATCAAGTCATGTCCTGCTGACAGTATAAACTTAAAAAGCAAAATGAAATCAAATTCACCTAACACTTCATTAATTGTGATTTTCTATTCAAATTTTCAATTCCCGTACTATTCAAAACCAGAATTGGTATCCCCTACAGCTCTATTCAGAAAGTGGTTTTGACCTCTTCTCTTTAAAATTTGAGATTAAAATGAAAAGACACAAAGAAAAGACATACAAGGTAATCTGTTTTTAAAAGGTATAAAAAGCCTACTGCCAAAATGAATAGCATTCATGCCAAGGTAGGGTATTTTTTATAGATGCATGCCAAATTGTCCACGGTTTATATTCACCTCACTTCCTCTAGAGTTCACCTTGCAGAAACATGAAAGAGTGTGGAATTACAAATCAAGGGAATGAAGGCTGATCAGTATTTTAAAATATTACCTGTATAAACATTTTTTTAAAACAAAAGAGATATTTCTTTCATTATTTATAGTAGGCACTCCAGCAAAATCCTCTGATAGTTATGTTCTGGATTTCATCAGTAGTTGTACTTATTTAAAAAAACTACCTTTGGTTCATGATATTAAAAGAAATCCTTTACTGCATGGTTTTTAAACATTTTGTTGTGATAGCATCTTCCCTTCAGTTTTTTTTTTTAGCAATTGCTTAATATCATCATAAATTCTATATCTAGCAAATGTAAAGCACTGTTCTGTGAAAGTGCATCTCTGTATTTCTGCTATATGCTCTTAAAAAAAAAAAAAAAAGAAAGCAGACCCTAATGTGGTTGATTTCTGAGGAGGTGAAGCTTTATTCACACTATGCCCTGTTGAAGTGAGAGGTGGGGAGGCTTTCAAGGTTTCTTCTGTCCTTTTTTTACAATTCATTTCTTCTCCTCTTCCTCCATGCCCACCATCTTTTCTTCTTCCTCATCCCCACAGTAAACTTCTGCCTTGTCATTTAGTAACAGATGTCATCTTATTTTTCCTTACAATGACTTTATAAAGTCAGTATTAATTATCCTATTTTTGTAGATGAGAAAATGTAGGCCCCCTCAAAAAGTGAAGTAGCCTGCCTAAATGGTGCAAGTAGTAAGTGGCAGAGTTGGGATTCAAACCCAAGACTAGTCCTGACTAAAACATACACTCCTCAGCACCATGCCACCCTAATTTTGGTGACGAGTACAGCATTCCAGGGGCCAGTCACTTGAAGGAGACTCTTCGTAAACTGCTACAGATTTCTAAAGCTCCAAAGGGGAAAAAAAAAAAAAAAAAACCTGACTCATTGTGCACTAATAAGCTTTCGAATGAGATGAATGACCAGGGCTTACCCAGTTTTTCTTTTTCTTTTTCTTGGAGTCAGCATCATTACCACTACCAATGCTGGAATGGCTCGTGGCACTGTTGATACTAGAAACACTTTCAGAGGAATGCTGTCTTCTGATGCGGAGATCTAGCAACAGACAGAGAGCAGCACGTTACCTCCTAAAGACTTTCACTGTGAACGAATAAGACTTTTAGGCTTTCGGAGAGGAAGTCTGCTGATAAAAGTCAACATGGCTTTGTACACATCATTTCAGTGCAGTTTTGGTTTTATAAGTTTAATAAAGTACCACCTTATTTGCTTTAATTAACTGGGTTATCGGCATTAAGATTCACTGGGTATCTCATATAAGTTTGTAGCTCTGGTGGTTTAATGAGTTCTGAGTTTCATCCAAAAATGAAATGCTATGCTAGTGATTTCTACTGAATACCTGGATCAGGCAGATTTTCCGAAATGATTTATTCCAAATGATTACTTCCGTGGAGTAAATGGAAACTCATAATAGCATGAGAATTAATTGTGTCTTTTTATTATTAGTGCTTTGAATAAAGCTACTGAAGCTAAATATATTAATTTTCCATTTCATAGAATCATACAGTGATAGAGCCAAAACAAACCTTGGAAGTTATCTAAGCAATTCAATTCACAGATGACGAAACTGAAGTACAAAGAACTTGACCAAGGTCAAAGAGCCAGTGAGGGAAAGGTGCTCGAGAGAGAAACTGCATAGACTGCATGTGTAAACTAAACAGAAAACATATTTAAGACAGTGCAATTCTTCCATCATAATCCCACCCATGACTTGGAATAGTAATGACAGTAATAATAATAACACGTAATAATAAAGCTAGCTTTTACTATGTGTTTACTCTGCCCTGTGATTACCTAATTTCATTCTTTTTTTTTCTTTTAAAGAATTTACTTACTTATTTGAGAGAGAGCACAAGCAGGGGGAGCAGCAGAGGGAGAGGGAGAAACAGACTCCCCATTGAGCAGGGAGCCCGACACGGGGCTCAGTCCCAGGACCCTGAGATCATGACCCGAGCCGAAGTCAGATACTTAACCCGACTGAGCCGCCCAGGTGCCCCTTATCTAATTTCATTCTTAAAGCAAGGCGCTGAAGTAAGTTTAATTACTAAGAGTAATTTCATCAGAGTCACAAAGCGGAAACACAGAAGAGCCAATCTGACACCTACACAGATTCTAACGTCTGTTGTGCTGCCATGGGATACAGGTTTGCCATACTTCTCAAAAGCATGTAGTGCTGCTTTAGTCACACAAGGTAATTTGAAAAAAAATAACATTTGATATTTAATCACGTTTCGAAGATACCCACTTACTCCATACAGTCAGCTTATAAGATTTATTTATAGTTGTTGAAGTTGAAATTTTATCTACGTACGGTGAACTGAAATTGCTAGTGGAGACACTAAGAACTTATAAAATTGTTTTTAAGGTTAAATCTGCTTTAAGGCCAAACCTATTACTATATTTAATTGGCATCAATTAAGGTTTGCCAAGTACAAAATCTCAGTGGAACTTCTAAGATGTCAGAAATTACTATATAGCTTTCAAAAAGTTTCCATAGAAATAATAGTATAAAATCAAAGTCTTCCAGTTGACTGATTTATTTAATATTACAACACCCCATGACAATGAAACTATGACTGTTACTTTCAAATATAAGTGACTATATGTGTGGGTATGTAATACATGTATACATATCTCTAACCTTATAGTCATACATACGTAGCAGTAAGTACCTTAATTTTTCCATTAAGATAATAAGTATGCTGACAAATTTTATAGGAGGGAAAAAATAAAACTATTTTTCAGAATCCATAGAATTTGGCTCTTAAAAGTACTTCAAAAAATAATGATGAGAATATTTACTGTATTTATATGCCCAAAATATTGCCCAAAATATTACCAATGTCAAAACTTAAATCAAGGCATTTATTTATGTGTGCTATTTTGATTGAACTTTGATAAAGGAGCATAGTATCCCTTAGTCAATGAATATGGAAGTTATATGAATAAAGAAAAGAAGAATATGTTGGTATTTATTTGTGTGTTAAATTTCTGCTGCGGTTGGCTACAAGCTTTTGTGATCAAGATATATTATTTGTTAGGTTTTTCCCTAGTAATCGACTTTCACAAATGAAGCAATTGTACTGTGTTAAAGTACTCCAGAGTTTTTAGTATACCCAGAATTAATAAATTGCATTTGACTTTGATTAACCCTCAAAATTTAAGGAGATGGCTATGTTCTTATAATCATAAATCAAAAGTAGTCCTTAGAGGTATTATCTACCTTCAATTATGATGGCATTTACCAACAAAGATTAGCAAAGGAATGATCTCAATAATATCATGGAATGAAAGGAATGCATTTTACTCATCTCTAACAATTCCTTTCTAGTGCTTGTAAGTATTTGATTCAGTACATGTGGCATGATAGAGCTTAGTAAAGAATGGTTGACCAAATGGATATCAACAATACAAGTGAATGGAGAAGCTTATTTTAGAAGTCTGTTTTTCAGTTATGTGTTTGTTCATCCATTCGTTTCCTCTTCTTACCCTTCATACCAGCACTGCCCCAGTTCAAGCTATGACTCTCACTTACCAGCTTGACAGCAAGAATAGCTGTCCAACTTACTCACCTTCAAACCATTCAATAGACAGTAGCTAGAGAATTCTCTTTAAAGGAAAACATCATCACTGCCTTGCTTAGGACTCTTCAATAGGTTCTCATTTTAAAAAGAAAGAAAACATTTCGACTCTTAAATAGGGCCTAAAAGTCTCTCAGTAATCTGGTCAGTACTTACCTCTCTAACCTGGTTCTACGTGTTGTACCTTTGCTCATTGTATCAGTTCCATAAGGGCACTAGTCCATTTTCTATCTCAAGACTCTTCTAGAATATTCCTCTCTCAATATTTACCAGATGAGTTGATCATTATTCCTTGGAGCTCTCCTTAAATGTTGTTATCTGGGATAGGCATTTCCTGACTATGAACCTCTATGAGGTTCCCTGACCCTTGCTTTCTATGCCATCTATTCTTGTCCATTTTATATCTTATTAACTATTTTGGCATACATATTCAGCTACACCAACGATCACAACAATTGTTTATTTCCTGCTTTCCCACAAGACTAAAAGCTTAATGGAAACAAAGATTATATCATTTTGCTCATTTTATGTATCCCTCCCGCATTTCTGAGCAGAGGAGTTCCTTTTTTTCAGTTCCAGTAGGTATATGAGGCTACCTGTTGCCTATGATAAAAAGAATCCGTCCAGAAAGTTTTACTTGAGTGACTTGTACTGTGTTAAAGAAAGGATTAAGCCTTTTAAAATCCCTTCTGGACCTATTTACGACATGAAGATTTAGAACATACGCTGCTTTATTATAGCTCTAAGATAAGCTTTAAATATGCAGTAATTTTCCATGTGGCATATAAATCAACTCTCCCACATGGAAAGTTGCTAAATTCTTAACAGAAGTAGCTCCTAGGGAACTAGTTTTTCCTTCAATTTAAGTATATCTCACTTTATATAATAAATTCAGGTATTTAAAAATTACATTTTTTTTAAATCAAAATTCAAATAAGCCCTTTTGGTGTGTAAGGCATCATCATAGCCATGTGGATTGAAAAAACAAACCACCCTACCATTGATCAGAAAAGGCAGGCCTTAAATAAATTAAGGCACCAAAGTATACTACACATTTGGATAGAAGTACAGTTATTTCCAGAAAGATATCACAAGGGGACCTCATCCAGCTTAAGGGTCAAGGAGACATATTTAGGCCAACTCTTATAAGGTCTCAAAAAGTTTTTATGCTGAACAAACAAGGCAGAAAATTTTAAGTAGATATAACCAGAACATATAAAGAACTTTTAGAAAATTGGAAGAAATTTGGGGTAGCTGAAATATACAACGTGACAAAAAAGCAGAGAATAAGGTCTAGAGCAGTGTCTAGCTAATAAGTGGCAGTCAATAAATATTTGCTGAATGAACAAAGCTGGGGAAGAGAGATTATGTCAAGTTAAGAAGATTGTATTTCATCCTAAAGGCAATGGGATACCTGTTGTTGACAATTGCTTTGGTTTCAGTGTGAAGAACCACTTATAAAGTGGTATAAGATGAAAGGCAGGAAGGATTTAGGAGTTTTTGGTCATAGCTCAGGGGAGAGATGAGGGATGGTGATAGCAGGATGAGAGAAAAGGGAACAGATCCAAGAGCTATTTAACAGCTGGAATCAACAGAACTTGGTGATTTAATGAATGAGGAGAGGAGGATTTATGAATGACATCTAGATTTATGGCTATATGGGAGGATGATGGTGCCATTTACTGAGGCAAGGAATACTGAAGGCAAAGCAGGCTAAGAGGGAAGATGACAAGTTCAAATTTGGAGATGTTGAATTTAGCATGACAAACAGCCATCCAAAGATAACCAAATGGAGCTCTCTCTGGGGCAGCTAGATTTATAGATCTGTAACTCAAGAGATGAGCCGGGCCTGGAGAGACATATTTGACAGCTATCAACACATAAATGTTAAATATAGCTAGAGGATTAGGTGAGTTTGTACAGACTTTTAGATAGGATGAAGAGAATCACAAAGTACCAAATCATAAAGGAAGTGAGTTGAGGACTGGGTTCTAAGAAATACTAACATTTAACAAATGGATACAAATGAGTGAACTTGCAAAAGAAACTTTGAAACAGATTTCAAAGGAGCAGGAGAAAAACTAAGAGTGAGAATGTTACAAACATTAGAAGAAATGAATGTGTCAGGTAGAATGGAAGGACATCAGTATCAAATGCTATTTACAAGTCAAATACAATACGAATTTTTAGTGTTGTACTGGATTTTGTGTCCAGAAAGTCATTATGGATCCTGGAGAGAACAGTTCTGGTTTGATGGTCAGAGAAGCCACCCTCCAGAGGTCCGAAGTGTGATTGGCTGCTGGAGACATTAAAAAGATTCTATAAAATGTTCCCAGGATTCACCAGGAAATGGGAAAGTACATGATAGGGCATTCAGGATTTAGAAAAGCATTTTTTTTTTTTTTAACTGGTGAGGAGTTGAGCATATTGAATGCTGTTGAAAAGAGTTAGGACATGAATAAGTAGAACCTATGCAAAGAAAAAAAGATGACATGAATACAAAGCATTTCTTCAGTGGGAAGCTAAGGAGGGTGTGGTGGCAAATAAGATTATTTTATTATTGTTTAGAACCGATGAAGCATAGTAATAATGAAAAGCAGACTTTTAGTCCTTTTTCTTACTATTTTTAACATTTCTGTAAGAAGTGTACCTTTTTTACTGCCTCCACCCAGAATGAGCTCTTCCCCATACCTACTACTTGGTATTTTACCATATCGATTATTTTGTTTACAGATCTAGATTTTCATACTCTTTACAGGGTGTGTTTTGCTTGAAGTCAGATGTGAATGTATTAAGTAACCTCCCCAACATCCCCACTTTCACCAAATCAAATGGAGAAAAACGTGTGTATGACTATAGAAAAAAATTCCTTAAGGTTAATTAAAAAAATATTGATAAGGAAAGCTACTGTTCTTAAATTCTGGGATTCTAACTGCATTAAGGCCAAGTTATCCATTATAAAAGGTAGTGCCACCAAGTAAAAGCAGCCTCTCTCTAAAAAATAAGATAAAATTGGTACTTATTATATTGGATGAAAAATGGCAATAGTTCTCAATATACCTTTGGGAGGGTGGTCTGGACCATTCAGCGCTCCCTGAATAGCTGCCTGGGCAGCAGAGTTCTGGGCCTTCAGCATTTCAATGGTTTCTCTTAGTTCTATCAGTTCAGACTCCTGCGAAACAAACAGAATTTAGAAGTTTTAGTACCTAGAGAGAAAAGTGAAATGTCCTTGTTCATAATTCACAATCACATGGGTTTCATTTTATGTAGTGCGAACGTCCTGGGAGATTTGAATGCCTGCCTGACCTTGTCAAGTCATATCTAACAACTTCTTATTTACCTAAACGTAAAGGAGAATTTTAGAAAAATGTCTCGGTTATTCTCTTATTAATGGGATCTGAATAGTCTTTATTCCTTTCAAAGGGTGGCACCTAAAGCTCACCAGTGCAAAATAAAGCAAGATATCACGGTGCGCATTTTATACCACACTTACTAATACCACCATGTTTAGATCACAGAGTTAGCTGGTGCCCCACATCGCGTTTACTGCCAGCCGGAAACCCTGAGTTCTTATTGAATGAATGACTGCATATTTTGTCTCCTTTATTTTGCACTTGGGGAACCGATTCTTTATATTCAAGTATAAAAGCAGGAACTCATCCCTACCTCACTCCTACTACAGGTCATCTTATTAAATTCTGCTGGGAAAATCAAGGTCATCTTAGATTCTGATACTTTTCATCCAATAAGTTTCCTAGTATGGAGACCCAATTTTACCAAGCCAAAGCAACACAGGAATTTTTTTTTTTTAATTGAATAGAAATACATGCAATCTACAGTCCTTAAATAATACTAATTTATCAAAAAAAAAAGGTAGCTTACACATCAAATTGCTATGAAACATCTATTTTCTTATTGAACTCACGGTAACTTTAAGATGTGTCCCAATGAACATATAAATGATTTTTCACAGTTATCTAAGTGAATTTTTTTATCAGAAATGACTATGAGGAAGAATGAAGAAGACAGGATATATGTGCTTCTCCAAAAAAGAAGTAGAGTATTGTTTCAGCATGGGCAGTATTTCCCTCAGGAGCTCAAAAACAAGGGGCATCCAGAATTCCCGGCAGTGTCGGCAACTCTAAAAATTAGAATTCTTGTCAGCCTCTTAGAGGGAGAATTCCTAGGCAATGTAATTGTCATTGATCATTTTCTCTATCATCTTTGGCAGCAATCCAAAGAATCAGGCTCAGGTTCTTCACTCCATAGTAAATAGTTTATTCCTACTCTCCATCTCCCAGAATATATTAAAAAGGTAAGATCAGGACAATCACCTTTGGAGGAAATAGCTTCAGATATAAGAACGTCCAGAGACTATTCTAACCTTAGACACTTAAAAAAAAACCCAAAAGAACCAAAAAACAAAAAAACAGGCAATGCTAATTGAAATGATAACCAACTTTATAACTATTTTCATTGGATATCTGACATATATCTAACAGATGACAGATATTTAAAAAAATAATAAACCCTCTTACAGACTTCTAATAGTTTATAAGTCAAAGAATCTCATAATGAACAATCTGTAGCAACCTCCTAGATTCACAGCTGGATCTTCAAATATTTGACTGTAATTTAATTTGCATATATTTATCATGAAGGAAAAATAACATGTTTGTGGAAAATTTCCACTGCCATAATACAAAATTCAGATCCAATTCATCATAATTTCTCAGTCTCTCCAAGTTCTGTCTATAATTTTGTCCCTTGCTCAATTAGTAATAGATAAGTTTTCCAAAATTTAATGTATTTTTCACTTAAAATAAATCTCCCAATAGATAAAATGTTTACTGAAATTCATTCTGCCTTTACCAGAAAACTATTTACAAAAGGAGCTCTATAGTGCATACTTAATGAATCATATAATTTAAATAGTAATTTTACAACATATAAACTGGAATACACATTAAATTTTAATTAAAATCAGATTTTCATCCTTGACTTTAAAATCAATAGTGCTTATACTGTGGATTAAAAAATTTGCTGAAATATGTGGCCTTAGGTTGAAAGAAGAAAAATGGAAATGAGATCTCATACAAAGGTCTAAAAAATACAGCTTAATTTTATGAGTAAGCTGACTTATTCCAATGTCTAAACTTTAATCTTTTCTAGCGAAGTCTCTTCTCAAAACTGTTTTTAGAAAGATTAGAAGTGGAATGCTCAGGGAATATTGTTTTTTCAGAAAACTGCATTTAATATGAGATAGAAGAATGATTACTTCTAAAATTAAGTGTCTTTTTTTAAAAGATTATTTATTGAGAGAGAGGGCACAAGTTGGGGGGGAAGGGCAGAGGGAGCGGGAGAAGCAGACTCCCCACTGAGCAGGGAGCTCGATGTGGGGCTCAATCCCAGGACCCTGGGGATCATGACCTGAGCTGAAGGCAGACGCTCAATCAACTGAGCCACCCAGGTGCCCCTAAAATTAAGTATCTTTTAAAAAAACAACAGATATTAACAGGTTAGTTGTTATTCAGTATGGCACAATAGACCCAAAGGAAGAATAACTAGGTAACAAATACATTCATTACGTAAATTGAGAAAATCATGTGTATGAAAAAATTAGTTTAGCCAAATTATATAGTAGTTCTTCAGAAAAACTTTATAAGCAAGGGCCTATAAAACATTCCAGTGTCTTTAATTAAAAAGATAGTTAAATTTGACACTGATAATCCATCCAAACCTGAACTAGGTATCTCTTCATATCTGCAAAAATCCCTTCCTTCTTTCTTATTTCAGTTAATGAGATCCACCTTCTGCATCACTCAAACTAGAACTATCCCTTTCACTGAGTCTTCCCATATGATTTCTCCCTTTGCTTTAAGTATTTTTCTCACTATTAAAGGCCCTGGTGAAATGCCTCCATATGCTTGAAACCTCTTAGCTTTCCTTTCAGAAAAAAAGGACCCTTCTCTGTACTTCCAGATCATTTAATGCATTCAGCTTATTTAGTTGTTGTAGACTTTGTCTTTTCACTGAGATTTATGATCTCAGTAAATGTTGGGATGATTTTGTTCAAATGTTCTGGTCTATGTTAAACAGGTGTTTCTCCCCATCAAAGAATTATGTAAAGCTTCAATTCTATGTATGTTTTAACAAGAGGGTGTTTGATCACCTTTGGTGCCATATAAAAACACCAGTGACTTTATTATTCATTATAAACAGAAAGTCTGGATATGGCTAAATCAGTGAAATCATTTCCTTTGGATGGCAACAAAGTCAGGTTTCCCTTTCTCTCTTTTCCAGCAGTAAGTATATAAAGATTAATATAAGCACTTTAAAATGAAAACTTGGCTGAGACATAGAAATTGTTTTATAATAGTTTTTTTCTAGTCTTCCTTTTTTTCTCCTTCATAATTACAGTTGGTGGTTCACATTTATTTTTAAACTATATTTTTCTTTCTCAAAAAAAGATTTATTTATTTATTTTAGAGAGAGAGAGCCCAAATGGGAGGGGCAGAGAAAGAGGGAGAGAGAATCCCAAGCAGACTCCAAGAGGAGCACAAAGCCCGAGGCAGGGCTCGATCTCACAACCCCAAGATCAAGATCTTGAGATCACGACCTGAGCCAAAACCAAGAGTCAGACCCTCAACTGACTGTGCCACCCAGGCATCCCTTAAGCTATATTTTTGTAAGGTGACTATAATGCTTAGAAATTGCAATGCTGCTTCCAAGTACAACTATGAAATCCTCCTTTTTCTTTGGCCATGGTGGGGAGTGTGGATCAGAAATATAATTAGAAGCGAGTTCTAGAAATAGCCAAATATAAAGTCATTTGATACTCTGAAATATTTTCATTTAGTTTCTTTATTTTGAAGGTGACCAAATAGAAGATACTTCAGTTCTGAGACTATTCAACTTTCAGAAAAAACCCTGGAAAATGTATATGCCATCAAGATATGGATTGAAAGCCTCTTCTAACTCAGTAGTTTCCAGTTTCCATTCTCTTCATTATATACCAAACAGAAGATGGGGGCTAGGACGATTCTGTACAGTATCTTGGGACTAGATGATCAGATCATACTTAGTTGATATTTTCTCACTTTTTGAAAGTGGGAACCAAACTAAAACTGCATTCACCTATAGTAAGCTATTCAAGATAATGATGCCCCAAACACCTGCTGATCATGTAAGATTCCAGTTTTCCATGAGAGTTTCTCATTAAAAGAAGCTGGATAGAGTCAATATCTTTTCTAACTGCTTTGTACATGTCTCTGAAGCTAAACAAGTTATCAAGGTCAGACTTGGAATGCTTCAAAATGAGATGATCAAATACTTTGTCATAATACTAGCCCTGCTTGGTATCCTTTCCAACCTAATTTCCTAACTGCATCTGACCTCTTTCCAAATTTCTCCTGGACACAGGCCTTGCTAAAAATCGTACAAGCTTGGCAATAAATCTCATCAACCAACTTGACCTTCTAGGCAAGACTCTTAAAAATTTGCACTAAACCTGCTTTTGCTTCCTTACACTGACACTCAGTTAAACTTACACTGTCTAGCTGTTGTTAATTTGAACATGTCCTACTCCCCACGATTATGTGTGTGCCTTGAAATCTTGTAAATTTTTCTGCTGAAAGAACCCAACCAGCCCTGATTCTAACAAAATGCACTAAGTTCCCCTAATCCCAGTAGTGCAAGTAACTTGATTCCATGAATAACATGGATTCAAATTATCCTATGCTCTAAAAGCCTAGTACACGTATTTTCTGACTCTAATGATAAATTTTTAGTGAGTAAACTCACTAATTAAGTCTTAATTCTCTCAAAGAATCTTGGTGGAGAAGTGCTAATAAAGGGACAAGGACCATAAATCCAGGTAAAATTCTTGATCAGACTCTGTCACTGTCACAATCTGTAATGCCTTAGGTTAGGTATAGGGCAATACCTAGAGACAATTTCACTTTCCAGCCAACAAGCATTCATGACAATTATCTTAATTTTTCCTACCTATAGACTTACTATTATGTAACATGTAGCATTCCAGTGGATACTGAGGATGCTGTTAAACGATCAGGAAATGCTGCTGGATTGATCTTCATTAACTAACTTTTATCATGTTGGTCTAGAGTCAAAAGCTTTGGAACGGCTCCTTGTTTTTCAAGGATCAGATTCCTTAGACATCTTTCTAGGCTTAGTTCCACATTTCTCTTCACATTCCTTCTTTTTCCCTTAATGTCTCCCTTAATTTCCCTCCTTGCTCTTCACGCTCATGGTGCCCTTTCTTCTACGACACGTAGTCCCCCATTTTCCTGGAATTAATCTTCCTCCTAGAGCCCAAAGGGGCTCCCCCGTGACACCCCTACTCTGGAACCTAAGTGAAGATGCAGGGGTCCCCTGTGAGTACGCTCAGGACACTATACTATTATATTTCCAATGGCACCCCAAATTTTCTGCCTCCTGAGTGATTCATATACATCTTTCTTTCTCACCAGGCTATAAGGGTATAAAAGCAGTGTTCTGGCAAGACAACCAGGATTCTAGATATGGCATCTGGGAACAAGGTAATATTTTAAGACACTATTCAAGGAAATGGACTTGGTCTATAAATCAAACTAATATTTTGATATAGTTTTCAGACTATTAATGCCATATGATTGTTGAAAATCATACTTTGAAGCTAGAAGAAGCCCAAAGACTTGGATTTGAGTCCTAGTTTCATTTACATTTCTTAAGTATGTAGCCAAGAACATGAAACCACCTTGGCTTTTGTTGCTTCATGTGTTAGCATCCCACCTTGCCTCCCAACATCCTCACTCCTAACATTTTCAGTGGTGCTTATCTTCACCGGAAATCCTGTATTTTTATCATAATCCGTCACTTACTGTAATATAAACTCTATTTTATATTATAACCAGTTATAAACTAGGATATAAACAGCATGCGTGTATATATAAATAATGCATACATATATTATATGTAGTATATAGAATTATATATATATATATATATACATATATATATATATATATATAATTTCACTGCTGAAGTCTCAGTAGCTAGGGCAGTCTCTTGTACACAGTAGAAATTCAATATAACTTTGGTGAATGATTAAATGGACAAATGAGCCTTGGAACTCCAAGAACAGTTTCAAAACCTCTGCTCTATATGCACTAATCTTTTTCCCAGGATTGTTGGATCACCAGAGAGCAATACACCCTTTTATCTCAGCTCCCTGAAGAAATGACTTCACTGAAATATGATTAAATGTTATGCCCTCAGCTTTTAGAGAAATGTCTATTTGAACAGCGATTTTGTCTTTTGTTTTTCCATGACCCCAATTTAAGAAATGTTACAATAAATTTGTCCTTGAATTCAGTGCCAAAAAGTTTGTCTCTCCGATCTAAATTATGCTCTTCTGGTCAGAAAATGAGAACTAGACATGCCAAGCAATCTCCCTTTGTGCCTTAGCTTCCTTGACATTCAATTCCATTCAGTGCTTTGTGGTAGAAATTACATAGGCTCAGGCATCTTATTATATACATTCCTCTACTTGTTTTCACTAGATTCTGTTATTGAATTGTGCCATATCATATTGCAATTAGTTTTATGATTCCCAAAGCCACCTTGGAAATATGCAAGTTATAAATCTCAGATTAATAAAATAAACTACTTAGTAACATTGTTTGTGCATATGGCTTGCAATGAGACAAGCAATCACTTTATTTTCAGTTTAAAAATGGCAAGGCAATTTCAGACATCATATCTTCTGAGAAAATTTTATAATTTTGGCAATGTTCCTTTATGGTTAATGTGTACACAATTATAAAATTCTGTGTATTATGCAGATGTATTTAAAAACATTCAGGCATTATTCATAGGCATTATAAATTAACAAATGCATAGTTTCCAATTTCTATGAGAAGTTTTATTTATAAATATAAAAAGTGAATATGGGATGGTAAAAAACATTAATTTTGATTTCTTAAAGATAGTGAGACTTAAGTACTAACCATGATTTCTAGCAATATGCCTGGCACATGGCCAATGATGAATTTGGTTTATCCTATATTTTTTAAGGGAAAAAAGGAGAGAAATGTAAAGAAAGGTAACAATTTTTTTGACTATCCACTGTATGTGGCCTCATATTGCATCTTCCTTATTCCTCAGAGTGATTCTACAAGGTAGTTATTATAAACCTGACTTTTAAAATGATGAATGTGAGGGTCAGCAAAAGAAGATTCCACAGCTCTTAAGAGGTCCCCCGAGATTCATACTCAAGCTTCCCGGGCTCCAACATTCATATTCTTTCCCACTTGGCTGTCCTAAAGACCTCGTCATCCTGTTTGCTGAGCTCTTAGGTTACATAGTGAAGTGGTAAACTGGACTGCCTCTCTCCCCCTTAAAAAAAGATGAAGATAAAATTCCTGTGCTCAAAAGGTGTTTGTCATCTTCCCTTTCAGAACAGGTTTGACAGAGATGGATAGTGTTCTCTTTCATAAGCAGGGGAAATCTTTGAAATAGGAGAATGAAAGATAAGAGCAAATAAAATACAGTTTGCTAATTACACCAGGCTATTACAGGAATATTTGATTTTCTCTTGAGTTTAATTGGTCTGTTCATTCAGGTTTTTTTTTTTTTTAATTTAAAAAATGGTAAACTGACCAAATGGTAACATATGCTAGTTCTGTAAAGCTAATGACATACTTTACAGAATTGAAGACAAAACTGAAGCCATCTCTCAGGACAGATATAGGCACTGATTCTGAAAATATCCAAAGCTTTTTAGATTTTGGATCTCTTTGGAAATTAGATGAAAACTGTGGATATCTGCTCATATTATGCACATATGCAGTTTTTACAAATGTTTCCATACAGTTTTAGAGACTTCATCTGTCTCTAACACCCATCCAAGGACTCAGGTTTGGGTCACCAAAATAATGGCAGAGAGGTAAGTTACTGGTCATCCCATGGAAAGTGTCCAGATTCTTTCTCGGCAACACGCACCTTTTGGATATGTTTGCCTCATGAACTAAATTCTGTTTCTTTCTTTTTAGAATTCCTTCTCCCCCTCCATAAAACCTTTCAGGTTTATTTTAAAGTTTGTGATATGAATTAACTTGACTTTTCAAAGACAGCATCCCCAGATGCCAACTAATCCCCATTACTCCAAAAGGACACAAATCTTCACTTAGCATTCTGTATTTCTAAACTTCAGCTCAGGATCAGTGTTTCAGTCTCTTGTCCCACAGATGCTGTAATGTGAGCCCCTTGCTTTGTAAAGTCCTCGCATCTCCTCCAGACTTTCTCCATGGGTATCTCCGCTCACAGCCATGGTCTATATCTGGGCTTACAGACCATGCATTTGTGAGAATTCTTGTCAGAGTGCAATTCTTGTCAACTGCATAACAAGTTGTTCCTAGAATATTCTAACTCTTCTCCTATACAACTGCTTCTCTTCCTTAACATTTGGTATTCTTTTAATAGGTCCAACCACGAGTAAAATAATAGACTGCCTGGATAGAACTTCTTTTGTGTGTGTGTGTATGTGTGTGTGTGTGTGTGTGTCCTACTATGGATTAATCTGAATCATATGTCTTTAGAAATTAAAATCTGAAAAGAAAAAGTATTATCTTGTCATTTTCCAATTTAGTATGCCACATTATGTTGAAGGAGCTGCATCTCATGCATTGTTTAAACATCCTATGCAACTTGCTGTCTTATTTCAAGCCCCCATGGCAATTCTTGGACATACCTTCTGTTCTGCTGTCATGGTTAGACTTTGCAGTCGGCCAGTCATATTCCCTAAACTCTTTTCAAAAGCTGCTACGAGGTGAGCCTGTGAACAAAATGGAAGGAACACATTTTAAATGTCAGAACCTTATATCGATGGATGAAAACTCTTGATTTTATAAAATGCTTAATTTCAGGTATTCTAACTCTTTAAATACTATGACCACCATGGTTAGCTTTCAATGATGACTCTCCTTTAACGTAAATCTTTGTTTATGTCATTTCTCATAACATAATAAAATAAAATTTAAAAAAAATAATAAAAATAAACTTCAGTTTAAATTCAGCATTTCTGTCTTTTGACATTTAATGTGAGTTCAACTTCTGAAAAGGGATGGTATTTTGCAAATAATAACACCTTCTGACTTGCATATCACAGAGGATTTGACACCCAAAATACTGAATAAAGTTCTGAGTTGCCAAGTTTTTAGACTTAAAGCTCAAGAGGAGGTCACTGCCATAGTCAATGGACAAATGTTTCTCATTTTTATACCTGCATGATGACCTTTGGAGATATTGTTAGCTCCTTCATTGTAATGATACTCTCCTTCAAGTGTCAGACATCTGCTGACAGCTAACACATTATCTTTCCTTTTTTTGTGCATACAAAGAATGGAATCAGAAAGAGTTGTCTTCACTTTCCAAACTCCTTTCAATAATAGGGCTTTTATTTCTACTTTATTCCCTTCAACTAAGGAAGTGCAGGGAGACCAGCTAGAAATAATATTCAGTCATATTTTATTTAAGTTTTCATGGCTTTCGGGTTTTATTTTAAATCTCAGGGAATTATACATATTACAGTATAAAACCCTAACTCTTATGATTAAGAAGTATTTGACAATCTTACAGCTCTAGAATAGGCCAGTTTCTGTTGGCATGCCATTATCCAGTAGCTTCACCCACCGAATATTAAGCATGGAGAGGTGCTTCAATCTCTCATCAGTTGCTTGAGGAGAACCACAGATGTGTTATCTTAAACCGATGGAATTTTATTGTGCCCTTCCAAAGATACAACGATAGGACATTTTACAACCTACATCTGTAATAAACTATGTGTGTGGGGGGAATTTGGCAATCCTTGGCAAAGATTAATTTTTTGAGAGAAGGGAGTAAAAGGACTTATTAAAATACATCACCTTGTAACTCTAGCAGAGCTGAAAGGCCGAGGTAACTATTATGAGATGGATGGCAGGAATCCAAAGAATTAGGGCACTGGAAATTTATTCCATTACTGATAATAGCGAGAAGTTTATTCCATTATTGGTAACAGCTAGAATGTACAAGTCCCTTCTGATAGTATCACAATATAAAGGTGTCTCTGTTCCTAGTACTGAGCTTATCTTGTGCTCCCTTCCTTTTCCCAACACAACAATATAAAGATAATTTGTGGAGAATACTTCTATTAATCTTCAGTCCACCAGTACAAATCTTTATTCTTTTTCCACTCCCTCTTGCCTCTATCTCCCTCCCCCACCAACTCTCTCTCTCTCTTTCTCACACACACACACACACACACACACACAACCTTGAGAATTATACTCCAAGGTTAGTTAGCAGATTTAATAGGATAAATAACACTCTTTTAAAAAAAAAAAAGGAATAGTATTTTGTAATTTAAAATGTTTTTGACGACAAGGAATATCCTTGCATCAGACTTAATATATCAGAAATTAGCACAAGGTTATGTTCCATTTTCTCTCATACATAACCTTTTTTATTGTAAAAAAAATTTTAAGTTAACAAAACCATATTAAACCATATTAGCCATACTAAAAGTGAACAAAATGAAAATGCATAGCTCACTGGTTTCTCACGTAGTGAACGTTCATACACTCACCAGCCAAGTCAAGAAATAGGACAATCGAAGATCCTAGAAGTTCTCCCTTACCTTTCTCCTATTACTGTCCCCTCTCCCTTCCCCCAGAATAACCACTAGTATTGTAACATTTATGGTAATTATTTTCTCGCTTTTCTTTATAGTTATACCACTAAGCTTGCATCCCTAAACACTATGTTTTAGCTTTGTCTATTTTTTAAACTATCAGAGTGGAATCATATGGCACAATTTTTTTTTGTGACTGTTTTCTTTTTCTTAACATTGTGTTTCTGAGATTCACCCATGTGGGTGTCACAGGAGTTAGATTTTGCAGGAATGCATTGCTCTATGTGATTTATAATATGTTTGCCCATGATTGACCATTTGTGCTGATTCCAGTTTAGGTTATTAACAATAATCCTGCTATGACTATATGATGGGTTACTAAATCCTAAAATAAAATTACTCATTTTCTTTTAGAATAGTGAAAATTCTGGCCGGAAACCACTGTTAATATTTGCTAAAAGAAATATAAGATTCTACTCAATATTGCAATTTTAATTCTCCTAAACAATAAGTAAGGCTTACTTATCGGATATATAAACTTGAATGTATAAACTTGGACGAAAATTTTACTTTACCTTCTATGCATATTTTCTCAGTTAAACAGGAGTTAAAATATGACAAAGAAAGTAGGAATGTGAACTTGCTGAATAAATATACTGCCTGTATTTTGTAGCTACTAGTTAATACAAAATGTTCACTATGAGAATGTCAGTTTTCAAGCTTTGGAACATTGCTGTTCATTAATTATTCATAAGAAAATGTATAACTGGTTACCAAAGAACATTTTGAGTCACATTGTTCTCCATGAAAAATGTTAGAAGTATGTTAGTGAAATACTGCTTTAAATTTATGTGGCCTTGGCTTAGGTTATCAGATTAACTTTGTTATTTGGAAGGCAATTCAAGGTTAAATTTCTCACCAATTGGATTAATGGAAAGGGAGTCCAAGAAACCAATAACAGAAACTATTCCTACCAGTGATGATCTTTGTCACCTCAACAGAGAGAAAATGGAAAGTAAAACCAATTGAGTACAGGACAATAGATCTTATCTGAGAAACTTAATAAATGATGACTTTTTTAAAATTGTGGATTTTTAGGGGGACTACTGATCATGGTTTACTTGGTTCTGACTTTTCTCTTAGCAGATGCATAATTTTCAAACCACAATAAAATTGTATCAGTATGATAATGAATACTCCCCGACCTGTGTTAGGTGAAGTTTGTCAAGGGAATAAAATAGACATGGCTAGATATTAGTTAAGGGAAGGTATTTCTAGTACATATTGTCTTTAGTTTTGGAATCCTATAATATAATCTGAATATAATCTGAATCTTTACATAAACAGAATTATTGTGCTGCTAAACAGTAAAATGAAAGATTATGAAAAATGCCTGCATTGTATTCATTCACCCAGAATTTAGTGACAGTCCACCAACCAAAAAAAAAAAAAATACATAGATTTATATGGAGATGTATATAAATGTGACTTTACATTTGAAAATCAATAGACGAACTGAAAATGATTCTGAAATTATCATAAATAGGGTTTCACATTTTTTACACATTATAAAATTGTTCCTTCAGTGTTTGTCATTGTTAATATGTGCAAAATTGTTTTCTGTGAAAGGAGATGCAGAAAAGTAACAGTAACTGCCAGAATACATAAAAATATTAAATAGAGCAAAAAAATAGGACACAATCCTAAACAAAATAACATCCGAGAGATTTTTGGCTAAAAGACCTATATGCTGAAAGGCAAAAAAAAAAGTACCTTTTGTGACATATTCATTCAGTGATATCTTTGAAAAATGGAAATAATAACTAGTCTTAGTACCCATTTCTAAATATGTAAGAGCTGAGGTTCGTAAACAAAATGTATTAGAACACAAACGAATGCTCCCCACCTGACTTGGCTGTAGGAAGGTGTGGGTGAGAGGCCAGAGGGCACCTGGCTGACTGCATGATATGACCATACATTTGCAGATGCTTGCTTGCGGGGGGGCTCCTCTTTTCTTCCTGTTCATAGGTGGGGCACTGGTCCAGGGAAGGTCAGACAGCAGTATCTGCCAACATACCCTCTCTCTTTTCTTTTCTTTTCTTTTTTTTTTTTTTTTAAGATTTT